TCCTGTACTTTATAATTTCCGAGCCGAGCACTCCCTTTTTTCGCTTTTGAGTCACCGTAGATGGGAAGCACACCTGATGTGTGAGGGGCGAAAGAGGGCGTGGCTCTGAGGAAAGAGGAGGACTTCTCGCGGTCTAATGTCAAGCTACTGTAAATCTTAACCTTCATGCTGAGGAATGAATACCACTAAATAAAGCGGGGAGTTAATATTTTAGAGGGAAACTTATTTGAAACTGTTGCAAATAAATTAGATGAAAAGTGAATTCCCAACGCGAACCTCCATGTGCTTCTAACTACCTCTTGACCACCTTTCCAAAACAACAAACTCAGTTTCAATCTCAATTAAAGCACCATAGTTGGAGCTCAACTATTAGTTAACTAAGTAGCCTCCTCTCAAGAGCGATTGCCCAATCTTGCCATTCAGATGGTCACTTACTATCGGTTCGCACGTGACGAGCGAGATGCTTACCATTAAGACAAAAGATTGTCCAGTAGTTGTGCGATAGTTCTTTACAGAATTGTTTTGAAGTTCGTTAAAAATCAACATTTTAAAGTTAAAACTTCCCCCTCCTAAAAAATTTAAAGCATATTAAAACAATATATATTATATTTACAGTTTAGACAGAGATGTTTCATAATAAAATAATTTAATGTAAATTTTTGTAAGCGTCAATTTTCCTTGTCGCATCTGGGGAAACTGATCTTCAGTTTTTTTGCGCTGTACCGCCACAACTGTGGCATAAGTGGTCCAATTTACCTTTAAGGGGTCCAATTTTAGATTTGCTCTGAGTATTACACGCGGAGCACCTCAACCCAATTTAGGACACGCAAATTAGTAAGTCCAACAGTAATGACTATTAACTTTAACACAATGGCAACTCCTGGAACAGGGCTAGGCTAGTATGGAGTCCAATTTTTTTCAATAATTCCTCTTCGCACGGGGTAGACTTGTGTCCAAACACAAAACTGCCGTTTATTAACGTTCTAATTAAATTTATCACTTTAATGCTTCCTGCGCCCCGTTCGCCTCCCTTGGCTCGGCGCCTGTCATGAAGGCTACGTCATCGTAAAACTGACCAATTGCTAGCACAATGAATAGTTTGCATTCAGAGGAAGTTTAATCTTTTCACTCTGAACGGTGGCCGAAGAAAATAATTCACAAAAAGATCCCGCTTGTGAAATTCTAAGGAATTCATGGTACTTTCTGAATACTACACTAAGATGGATTGTAGCCAGGGGGGAACACTCAAGGAAAATTTGGGTAGAGGTGTGCCGAAATTGCTCATTTCCTGATTAAAATACGAGACGTTTTTTCATGACCCCGATTTCATTATTTCCCAACAGAATTAAGGAGGAATCCATTAGGAAATTGAATAATTTGAATTTCCTGTGGACAAAAACCTTGTACCAAAATAAGTTCAAGCATATTGCACTCTTTTTTACACTATTCGAGGGCTATAAATGTAATAAGTCATATGAAGTAACTCCGAAGAAAAGGTTCTTATAGGGGACCGAGAAAACAAACTTAGCTTCAAATTTCACAAAATGAAATCTTACGCATAACGATTTTACCTGTATTTTCTCAATTTCTGTGAAATTTGAAAGTTATTTTCTCCAGCTCCCATAAGAAATTGCCTTTGGTGTTATGACAGCTAACTAATTACATTTGTAGCCCTCGAAAAATGTAGAAAAGACTGCGATATGACTTAAAATATTCCGGTTCAAGGTTTTTGTCCACTGAAAATTAAAATTACTCAATTTCGTGATGGATTTCGTCTTAATCTTTTTAACTAACGTCGTAGAATTAGACCTTTTTTGTACCGTGCACGTGGACCGCTCATCGCCAACCTTCACGCTGTTTTAAAAAATTCCGGTCCAAAACTTCATCCTGTTCAAGACGCTAAATAGTGAAATTGTTTACCCTGTTTAAGAGACTCACGACCCTGAAAACCATATGCTTTTTAGCGGCACATGCCCACACATTGTCTAAACCATTGTTAGTGAGGAGTGTCTGCTACGCAAGCTATACCGTACAAACGTTTCGAGGGGTACTCAACAGAGTTTTATAAAGGGAGGCTCCACCCAGAGGTCCTACCCTTTACCCTACTTCTGGACCATTTTTGACAGAAAAGGTACTTTTTAGCGATACCTTCCATTGAAAAAAGGGTACCTCTTTCACATAACTAGTTTAGAACTTTGCATTGCTTTGGACTGTTGTACAGTGTAAATGCATTGTCTTTAAAATATGAATTAATCACAAAACCAGGAAATTGTCTGAGTTTTTACAGCCATTAACTCTTCTGTGAGCCCTTTTAGGTCTCACAGAACGAAATGACAGAGTTCTCTACCCTTCCATATTCTTCAACACGTGAAATCTCCACCCCTTCATGTGATCCGACTCCTGAAAAAGTCACTACATTCGGGTTGAGTCTCCCCGTATAGGCCATTATAGGGATCAACCCCTCTCCCCCCCACCCTATCCCCTTGGCGAAAGGGAAAGGGATAACTCTACTCCTGATTACAATAGAAATCAAGCATCAGTTCTAACCAGGAGGCCAGGGCTTATGCTTGGGGCTACAATCATTTGGGACACCCACACATGTTTATTCAGTCAAAAGCCGGCAAATCATTCTAAACCCCTCCTCCACCCGACCCTTTTTCATGGATAAAGTAGCTTTCCTTTGGATCCTAGACCACTTGCAGTCCACCTTTTCTCTTAAAATCCCTCCAGTTCTCATCCCAGCCAGCGCGATTGCAAACATAGCCTAATTAAGAGTTCTTTGCACTCGTCTCGGCAGTAAAGGGCCTCTAAAAACGGCTTTGTCTGTATAGAGATCCGACGGCTATGCCATGCTGATGAGCCCCAAAAAGGGCGAAACAGCTGTCATGGCTGCCATGGGTGATACGGCTGTGCGCGTGCGTGAGGTACTGGCCAAGCCATGGGTTGGTGTGCCCCTTGCTTTTAGTTTATCCTAAGAAAACATCCGACATTTCTCGACAACACCACTAGTTTCCCCACGAAATGACGTCTGAGAAACGAGCGCAGAAATTCCATACTGACGACGTGTCATCACCCAGATCTGAGAAGTGCTTCTGATTGGTCACGACGCGAGGGAAATTTGCTTTAATCAGTCAGAAGCACTGCCCAGATCTGGGCAGTGACACGTCATCAGTATGGAATTTCTGCAATCGTTTCACGGACGTCATTTCGTGGGGGAAACCAAATGACGGCTTTTTCCACGGACTATTGGAAACAACGACGCTACAATTGTTTGCTTATTCTAACCCCTAACCCTCGTTTATCGCGGCTCGCTGCTCCGGTGTGGTTAGGTTACGCGCGGAGTAACTTTGAAAGAAAAATAAAATACTGCTGGCAGTCTATAAGAGTCCATGTTCTGAGGAGGGAGAGGAGGCGTGGGGTGGGAGAGGGTGACAAGAAGTTTATACGAAAAGAATGACCTCTATAGAGCGGAAAGAAAAAAAAGAGTGTTTTAAAGGATTGTTCCAAAGATTCTTAGCTATTCTTGTTCAGGATTACAGCTTAGTGACCCAGCCTATTGTCTGAGTAATTTTAACAAATATATTTCGTATGAGGGTTATGTTCAAATTTGGCAAATAAATAAATAAATATAAACGCACTTCATACTAGATTCTTCAACAAAACCAAGTTTCAAGATTAAGACATACAGTCAACTTTCTGTAACTGGGCTGTGATTAAGAGCCGGGGGCCGGGGATTTCCTCTGACTACTACGAATGTGGTCCCCGGCTACTTTCATTATAAATTAGACGAAAAATAGAACCAAAGAAATCCCTAGCTGTTTGATTCCCCGCCTACTTGTTGTATTTAACCGGCAACTTGAAATCTTAGTGACAACCTTGTCTTAGATGGAAACCTTTGGAGCCAGCACTTGCATCGGTCTTTGAGAGATGCCGTCATGTTGAAAGTCAACTAAGAGGAGTAAAGAATCTAGATGACCGTTTCAGCGACTGAGGTTTCGGTTAAGAGGGAGTTGACTGTATGGCTGTTCTCATCTCTTTGCTCTAAATTCCACTGGTATGGGAAGTCTTTGTTTTTAAGCGTGAGCCGACAACAAGTGGATTCGTGGCCCAGTTTAAGATGAAAAAAAAAAGAAAAACGAAAAACCTTTTGGGCTATGTGAACGCACGTTTCTCAAATAGGAACGGTCCATCTCAGTTATAACTACTGCTTCCAACATCTTTTGTATAACGCTTCAAACTAATGAATTAATACTTCTATCTTAGATTAACCTCAAATAGAAAGTGTCCATCTCAGTTATAACCAGTTCTTCCAACATTTTTTGTGTAATGCAGCAAACTAAAGAACTAATACTTCTATCTTAGATTACATATTTAAACAATAATTGTAATGAAAAATAAAATTCTATTTAAAACATTTTTTCTAATTAATTACAGAGGCATTAAAATATGCCTACTAAATGCTTTCGTTGAAAAGCAATATTATTTATAACTATGTAAAATTTTCATAATAACAGAATGTCAGAATGTTTTTCTTGATCTTGTCCTAGCCAAATCATTTTGATAAAATAATATCAATCAATTAACTTTTTCAAATTTCGACTATATTTAACCTCAATATAACTTAACGTCTATGTTCAAACCAATTATAACTGTCACTTAGCCCACACTCGATTGTCATTGATGATTTCACGTGACTCTGCGCCAGTGAGAAGTCGGGAAACATGCGACCGGCGCTCCATTTTTCGCGACCCGCGGGTCCCACCTTAGGCAAGTGGGATAAGTCCCGCGGGCTGTAGCCCTTAGTTGGATGCCTGCATCTCATATTTATGCGAACAGTTTGTAGAGCCACATACTTGGGCTTATGAGGACAATTTGTCCTAGTGGCAAGGAAGCGGCGGCGGAGGAGATTCGACGTCCCAACGGCTGAAGCAGGCGGGGAGTTTTCACCCCAAACATAAATAAGCAATAGAAGATGGTAAGTTAGACGCGCATAACGGTATTTATAAAACTTTAACAGATGCCGCTGTTGTGTTTCTGTGTATCTGCAGCGTGGTTGTAATCCTGGGTAGAGTTGTAGTAGTCAAAGAATTTTCTTCCATTTTTTCTGTCCTCTTACTCAATTTACGCCACCGTTTGAACTCTTTCCATCTCCTCATCGAAACGGAAATCTTCTCATAAGGTTGTTTCCTGCGGTATAACTCTATTGTCTTACGGTTGTTCTTGTACTTTCGTCCTCTGTAAAGCCTTATGTTTGTTGCCCGCTCTATAAACTGTACTGCTTTTATTCCCTGCCTATCTGCTCTTCTAGGTTTTCCCCTTCTGTTGAAAGCGACGAGACTGCTGTTGTATTTGACAGAACTAAATTCCGTATAAGCGTTGTTGGCCAAGTGTTCTGTGTACACGCAGTTGTCCTTACTTCGCGCCTGTTAGAAAAACGTTTTGACACCGTTAGAAGAAAAATATTATTATTGGGCTGCCTATGGCACAGCACAATTATAAAACAAGCTTTCTCCGTCGAAAAAGAGACAACATGCCGGATGAACCACCCAGAAGGCATTGCGTGTCCTACCCACTGCATGCAATAGGCTCGCTCATTTGACTTTTCTCGGGAGGTGATGAGTCATTCCCAGAGGGAAAAAAATCTGAAAAAAACTTCGCCAAACCCCAAGGCAAATTTCTGGGTTTTGGGGTTAGTCTCCTTTCTATCATCTCCGTCGCTTTAACTCCGGAATAACCCCTGCCCCCTTCCCCTCCCACTTGGTATATCTAACCGGATCTACTAATGCACTTAGCTTGTATCTCGCTGTTTCTATTTCTAGAGACAGGATTAGTAAGGACTAGCTACTAAAATATTATACCACTGCAGCCCTATCAAAGGCCTCTTGTTTGTAAAATAATCCCGACAGTAACAGCTGGGTCGCCTTTTCTCGCGTGGGGTGATTTTCACGCTCGCTCGCCTTTCGCTCGCTCTACTATCCCTGAGAAAAAAATGAGGGACTACTTGTAGTCTAGAAAATGGCCCAATCATTGGCCATTCTGACGTTGCGCTTCGGAGACTAGGTCGGTTTTCTGCCGAACAGTACCATGGGACGACTGTTTTGGGAAAAAAGTTAGCCGCACCTCCTTCTCTATCAATCATGATACGTTTCTGGGAAACTGCCCACCTACCCCCTACACCAACCCCCCCCCCCCCGACCAACATTTTTCCCTAAGTGAGAGGTAAGTGTTAATGTTGGCTAAGGAGAGGGGTAGGTGGGCAGTTTCCCAGAAACGTTTAATGATCCAAAAACCGTCATCTACAAAGCTAAGACCCATAGTCATATCTTTACACTGAAGTTGAGCAGAACCCAAAAAGGGGCTTATTCGCCAGTTTTCCGTAAAACTCAACCGCGTACTACCAAGATCTTCAAAGTGTAAGTATCATCGACAGTACAACTGAACACCGGGTATTAAGGATATAGAACGTAAATCCGAGACTGCTCTCTTTAATCAAAACCGAGACAAAGACTTCACGTGACTGGTTTAATGAGAAAATTCGAGCCCGAGGGGTAAGTGAAACTCTAAGTTTCGAAACCGATAATTCCTACAGAAGGATTGAAAGGACTCGACTACAAGCACGTTCTTACTTTTTTTAAATTACTTTTAAATTTAACCGCATTTTTTGAAAAACGTGCTCGCCTGGATTAGCAGAGATATAAATTCGACGGATGTGGTTTGCACTGAGTTACTGACATAAGTCGCTGCTGACAGAGCCTTCGAGAAGATCTAACTCTTAGCGAGGCCAAGATTCTGATACTGTACTCTAAAAAGAACTCCAAACGCGGTTAAAACTTCCTTAGACGCGCCCTTTTATTCGACATTCTCCACACCACTTGTACTTGAAAGGGAGAATTGATCAGTCAGTTGTGTCGAATTGCACACTATTTTTCTTTGGCTTAACTCAATCTCTGGTTGTTTCAAGCGCAATATGCAAATGTTGGCTGCAACGATACACCGATACATGACCACGGGTGAACTGTGATATTTCTTCTCACTATAGGAATATCGATATTTTAATAAGATAATCGCGATACTACGATACAATAAAATATGCTTCATCGACTACCGAGTTTGTGAAATCACTGTCTTTATTATTATTTTTTTAATCGACGCTCTGCATTTAACTCCTTTAAAGGCGACTTGAAACAAGTGAAAACAATCCCTGGTTAGGGTGCTTCTCATCTCATTCAGGATTGGAGAGCTTTACAGTCTCGTGCTTAGCTGTGCCTATAATGTATCGTATCGTGTACCATCATCGAGAAATCTCCCTTAGCTATTACGGGCAAGAAGTCAAGATTCCTTATGTATAATATGTAGCAGCGCGTTCATCACTGATATAGTGGCTTGAATTGTCAATTTTTATAGAGAAAGAGAGAGAGAGCGAGAGAGTATTGCTTGGTAGTACAGTCGACTCCCTATAACTCGAACCTTCAAAGGAAATTGAAAAAAGTTCGAGTTATCGGGAGCTCGAAGCAAATAGCCGGAAGTAAGGGAAAAACCAGTTTTTACTGTACAGTGAACATTTTAATCACATTTCACTGTAGAAATATCAAGTAAAAATGGAACGATGCTTCTAGACTATAAATTAGAACGTAACGTAACAAAACAGCCTAGATGAATTTAACTGTTTTGAGAAGCAAAGCTGTCTCACGTTAGATCATTTGTGACAAACAACATTAACCTCCACTAGTAAGCTACATGCTTACAACACGGACACGTCAATGGAAAATTCAAAATTCAATCAGTGTTTCGGACGCTGGTACACTGTTTTTTTTTTTTGTTGCCGACTTTAAAAGCGCTCAAAACATGGTTCGAATTATCAAGGGTAAATTTATATAAAAGTGATCTGAGGGGAAACAAAAACTACTTCGAGTTAGCGGGAGGTTCGAGTTATTGAGGAGAAGTCGATTTTGGTTCGAGTTAGCAAGGATTCGAGTTATCGGGAGTCGACTGTAGTACCATTTTAATTAATCACTGAAGACGTAAAATTGCGGCACATACGTCTACTTGCAGGTGCCCAACTCGAAATGTGCCGTTATTTTCTTTCTTCAGTTAACCAAATATATTAATGCTTCGCCTCCGCATGACAGGTTAGCTTCCTTTGTAACTGGAAACACCCAAAATTCCTCAGCTGCCAGAACGTTCAAAAGTTGCCCGTTGAAGGTGACAGATGATTTCTAAATTGTGTTATTTCCTCGGGTAACCAAAACACCAATCAAATAGACTCCCACGCTCATAAATAAAAAGAAAAAGACTAAAAAAAACCGCCACTGCGAGAAACAACACAAAGATTAACTTGTACATCTACAGTCTTCGCGGTGCATCGGTTTTGTTTTGAACTTTCCGGGCGGTAACTTTAGTCCATTGTGTTAGAACTTAAGGGTCTTTTCAATGAAGTTCTTTTCTTTTTTGTTGCGGTTTCATAACCTCATGTTGTTTCGCAGTTGGCAAATGAGAAACTTTTCAAGCTGATTTCTGCTGCGTCGTGTTGTGTTTCCTTATTTCGATACGTGTGGGTTTTTTCCGAGCAGGACAAACACGTCTTGCGTTAAATCAAACGTTCGCAGCTGGGATCAGATGGGATTTAGACGTTCTAGAAGTCTTGTTATCAGGAATATCAATGTATAGCAAATTCAAAATTGTCTCACCCATCTTGTAGCACGAGAGCCAACTTCCATTAAAAAATTGTGTCTAAAAGTTAGAGCGTTGATGTTACGGTCGACTAAATCTGCTTAACCCTGAAACCATTTTGCTTCTATTTAGACTGCATGTTTGTGCTTATACAGGCGTTAAAATGGAGTTGACTAAAGGCTTAAAAGAAAAGGTGCTTACAGCATCAAACAAATAACTTCCTTTTCTTGTTTTATTTGTTTCGAGTCCTTAGCCTCAATACTCCGAATCGAGGGTATGTGTTATTGTAACCTGTCATTTTGGTTAGTGTTTCAGAGCATGTTGGCATCTTCACGTTTTGTTTTCTTAAAGGGTCTCGACTGTTAGTCGAATTTGAATTCTCGTCTGATGCTCATGATACTGTCATTCATTCTGCGGTAGATTGAGAGAAGCTGATAATTTTAACTTCATTATAAAATCGATTTACTGACAGAAGTCACTTAACACAGTTGATTGGTGGTGACTAAGTGTTTCAAAGTCCTATCACTATACTCCAACGCAATGTCAAAACGAAGAGTAATGGGGAAAATAGCCCGGAGCTCTACAATTGTTTGTTTTTATTTTCATTTTTTATTTTTTAAGTCTGATTTTTTATAATGTAAATATTCTTTCAAAAACCTTGAATGATTAAGAGGAAGTAATTAATGCAAATCAGTTCGATAACTAAACGGCCATATACATGTGTACGCAGCGCATATTCCTTCTCAAGAGTTTGTAATGAAAACATTCTCAAAGTTTGTGGCAAATTCGAACATGTTAAAATCAGTAGAACTGAAACATTTAAAGTGTTAATGTCACTAAACGATTCAGTGTATTTCGCATCGCACATCCCTTCTCGCGAAGCCGGTACTTCCCAGTAAACAGGTCGCTCTCAAAATTTACGGCGGGCAAATTCGAACAGGCATATCGTGGGTACGGAAATATTTGTAAAGCGTTAATGTCACTAAACGGTTGTATTTCGCCTCGCACATCCATTCTCACCAAGCGTTTTTTAAGGAGGTCATTCTCAAAATTCACGGCAAATTCGAACAAGCATGCAGGTTGGACTCAGTCTAAATTTCACTAAACAAAATTCATACTTTTGTTTATCGACGTTTTTCAATCCTTGATTTCTTTTAGTAATTGTTAAAAAATATACGCTCGCCAATGCAAGTTTGAGTATGATCTTCGTGATTTTTGAAGGGAAAGCCGCTTTTTAATAGCCTTAAGTTTAAACGGCTTATCACTCGCGAATAAATGTACCCGAATTCTTAAAAGTAGGAGCTTAGTCTGTTAAGAATTCCCTATCGCCTCCAATGTGTCAGCGCCTATACACATCTAGTAGCTATGTCAATCCCAGACAGTAAATGAGACGAAAAAAAAATGGGAATAAGTGACTTACCCTTGCTCGAAGACGTCCTTTCTTATCCACACAGAGAAAATAATCAGTCGCTGTTCCGCGTATTCGAACGCGTCCAAAACTTATAGATTCAACAACAAGCTTGGCTGAAAATAACAAATGAAGTATTCTAAGGTTCAAGCTTATTCACATATGCACCACCGCCGAGAAAAAGAGCGTGCAAATGAGCTTGTTAAGGTTTAAGGTTTAAAATGTCAGATGTCTATCTTCTCAAAAGATGAACACCAAATTGACTCAAGCAAGGCGTTTCTGCGACAAACTGCGGTTTAGGTTGCCCCCACGTACCATAATGTTAATGAAAAATGTCGGAGTTACGTATATGCGCGTTCCATTTACTCCCATTTGATGTTTACTTTGTAAATGAAAAGCTCGAAATAGAATGTTACAGTTAATTTATATAAAATGTTGCCGGTGTAAAATCTTTAGAAGTACAGTACAAAGCGTGGAGTTCACTTTTGCATTTCACTATAATCTCTTCCCCGCGAGCTGTTTTCGCCAGCATGACAAGACTAATTATACTTCATCGTACGGGGGGAAATCACAAGCGTTCGTGCCGGGCAAAATCTCTTTCATTCTTTCAATTAGCGCAAAGAGGATTAGTAAACTCTGTAAAGGTTTTAGAAAGTGACAATAGCTCCACCACGGTGAGGCATAAGTCTGCTCAATACCCACTACAATTCCCCCAGCCAGTGCTTAATTGCGTTTTACGGAGACAGTGTACAACTTCTTTTAGTCACGAGAAGTCATTCTTGTGCCATTTGGCGTGGTCATTGAAAAATTGTCAGGAATTTCGCTTCTTTCACAACTGTGTAAACAGAACACTGATCGCGTTTGACAATCATATAATTTCTGGTCAAACAACGGTTTATAAATCCTCGACTGTAAAAAAGTGATAATTAATACCGCAACTCATCGATGAAACCGACAACACATACACATTTATCCTGCACAGGTTAGATTACTGACACAATTTGTTCAAAAAGGTTTAAAATAGTCAATTCCAGCTGATTCGTGTTTTTTACTATAAATAGAAACAACGACCTAAATGAGTTTCTTGAAAAAAGAAATGTCAAAAATTTCGTCGTTTTCCGAAACCATTGACCAACGTTTGACTCATGAGTTTCAAACTTTGGAAGAGTTACTCACGCAAAGGAATCCTCAAAACAAGAATGACAAGAATAAATAATTTCCTGTGGTTAAAGAGAACAAAACGTAAACCATTTAAATACCTACGTGATGCGTTCATGAAGACGGCAAAAAATTGAAATGACCTATTAAGTTCAGTTGAAGATCAGAAATAAGGCGAAAAGCGAAATTCTGGAGAAAATTGTTATAGGAAAGGTCATATCAAATTTTCCTCATGAAATAAAACAATCGAATAAATCTCTGCCGAGTATCCATGATATTTTTCGGCACCGCGTGGCTACTGTTCATTAGGTTGAAAAACGCGCAAATTGCAGCCCCACAAAACTGGCAGCTTTGTCAAACAGTATTTCAGGTTATTACACTTTTAAAGGAACCAAAAAATTAAAACAAAAAGAAAAGTTTATACAACAGCAAAGTAAACAGCAGTTGACGATATAAATTTAAAAGCCATCAGTTTTACCGAATTTATCCATGTTTTCTCCTTTAGCGTCGACACTTCTGTCAGCATTGATTCTAACGTGGCGGCCGCTATTTCTTGAATACAGCTGAACGAACCTGCGAAATGGCAGGCTAGTTGTTTCGGTTTTTTTCCTTCCATTGGTATAAATTTCGTCGAAAACCCTTCTTTCGTGCGGCTCCTGGAAGAGAAACGAAGAAAATATATGTCAGTGGGTAGTACCCTAATGCAAATTAATGAAAATTTAAGCCAGTCAAATAAAGTTGCTTTCGATTTAACTTACCTGATCAAGATCAAGAATTCTTGCATGAGTATAAAATTCGTTCGGCAACAATGAACTGCAATGAGAAGCTATGCGTCAACAACAGATTGGACAAACTGTTATTGCTCAGTACCCTCGATTTACTACTTAACAAAGTGAAAAATTGATGCCACTTAAGGAAAACGCCGCCGTCCGATTCAAATATTGTAATTATAATCGGTACTTATTCAATGAGAAATTGAGATGCTGGTGTTCTATGAACCTTAAAACCTGTACGTAAACTGATTTGTATACTTACTTAATCGTTAGGAGTACGAAAGCTCTTAAGACATGCGACCCCAAAGCCATGCTGAACTGAAATGAATAGACTGGCGTGCCGAGCACCTTTTATCTTGCGTCACCGAAACGGTTAACACCCTGTCCGACAAATTTGCGCGCCTTAGGTGGGAATAGGAACGAGAGGGCTGGCCGCAGAGAACAATTAGGAAGTGTTAACGGAAATGTAGGACAAGTGTAACCAACTCCTTCTCAGCATAGGAAGGAAAAGTAGTCATTGGTCTATCTACGGCGATCCCAAAAACACAACAAAACTCGAGCCCGAGATGTTTTGACGGAGACACAAGTCTTGGCCATTAAGAAGGCTACTTGCTAAGAACAATTAACTGTAAATGCAATTAAGATGCTTATCGTCGGCTGCTAGCTTGACCTTTTTAGGTGTCAATCTAAGCTTTTCACGCCTTAATTAAGTTTTAAATGTCGAATTGTTACTCTCTGCAGCGTCGAGTGGTTTTTATGACACCGGCGAAGACGCAAGTCTCAAGTCTCCAGAGCAAGTCATTTGTTAACAACTGCGTGGCAGAGAAGCTTTACAATATGATCCCCAAGAAACTATTTTGCTGGCTCATCAGAGATACATGCGGCAAGATAAAATGGCTCGGGTGAATAAAGTAACGATTAAGTCTGGTGTGTCATTGGGTTAAAAGAACAATATGTCAATAAAAGTTTGTAAAAAGCGGCCGACTTATTTTAGTTAACAACATAACAGCGAAGCGGATGTTTAGAAGATTAGATCACCAAGCGATACCAGGAGACGTTTTTTCCTTAGCAAGTTAGCTATTTTAAAATGACAATTCCATTGCGTCTACCCCATATTGCACATCATAAAAAGAGTCATTTACTTCCACGGCACTTTTGCACCAAGTTTGTATTTTTATTTTTTGACTGATTTAAATCTATTAGCATTTGTAACAAAACAACTTAAAAGCGCCAAAATGCATTTAACTTGTCAATAAACTGAAATATGAGTTGGTGGATTATAGACCGTAAGATAATGGTTAGAACAAATTAGTCAAGATAATAAAAAATGTCTTAAGTTATTGGCTAATATACAATGTGAACCAAACAAGTTAGTGAATCCCACATAACGGCTGTTACAACTCATTAATCTATGTAAACAAGAATGACAAACCTAATATATTCTGTTATCTACTCAGAAATTGATATCATTTTGATATCATTTTCAGTATCCACGTGTCGCGGCCACATTCCGTAAGCAAAAAAACTGGCCCGTCAATTTTCCATCGGAGGTTGTTCAGTAAGCCGAGTTAATATGACAGTTTACATTTCTTACAGTGCAGTGACCAGAAGTGACACTTTGAAAATCGGAAAGCTCTTCCTATCAGTTCCAGTCGCCTTAAGTCTTTTCTGACGGTATTCTAATAAGGTGACAATCTATGCTTCCTTCCAAGCACTTGGCCTACTACAATTAGCCGAAATATTTCAAGCCTGTGTAAAACACTTCAAAGAATTTCCCTTTGCCAAATTTGTTCTCTTTGAAGTTTGTTTGTTCCAGTTCGTACGCAACGTCCAAGGTTGCGTCCAAGAAACCACAATGTACAAAAGGAAATCTTTCCAACCAAAGTACGTCACAAGTCTTAACGTTCCGACCGTAGGCGATGTCAATAATTGATTTGTTCAAATTAAACCTGTATGGCGTTTATTACACTTGAAACTTAGCGTAATTATTCTGCTTATTTACCAGTGTTAAGAAAAAGGCCTTCATGATATCTACGTGTGAATACAACAAGAATAAAGGAGGTTGCAGTGAAACAGAACAAACCGAGGGTCGCTTTGATTGAGGGGTTTAGGCATTTTTATAGCTGCCTCAAGTTGCGATAAGAGTCAGGGCGTGAGCACATATCTACAGAGAAATTTTAAACTTCGGACCTCTTGACAGATTTCTTAATCTTATCTCTAAAAATGCCTTTTGAAAGCGATCCAGTTATCCTTTCGCTATTGAGTGCGAAAATTTACAGAACTGCTCTAGTTTCAACGGCTCCAGAAATCCTCTTACCCCGTATTTATTTCTCGGCACCAGATTATCTGGGAAAATGTATATGTATGAAAAAGCTTTTCAAGTACCTTATATTACGCTACCGACGACCTGATTAAAAGCGAAATGGGGCGGAGAGGGGGAGAGACAAAAAACGGAGTTAAGAATTGCAAAGCACAGTAGGCTATTAAAGGGCAACTGAGTGACATTCTATTGGCAAACTGCTTTACACAAAATGCGTTAAGTTTTTTTATTGGAGAAACGCATTGAACTATATAAACATAACCACATCCACTCGTTTTTATCACGCATGTTTCCCTTGACTCTTTCTAACCTCGTTTAGATTATCACGACCCTCGGCTCCGTTCCTCAGACATCATTGTAATATCACTTATTTTAACTGAAGATTAAACGGAACTCGACCCCTTCGGTCTTTCCGCTGTTTTTTTTTTGCAACGCTATTTTGGCTTATTCCAGACACTTAGCTCGTCAAGGAGAATGTGTATTATCGAGATTTCCGCTCATCACTCTAGCTATCAGCAGTGGCCGGGTATCGATAACTCTACATATGGGACATTTCCGATGCGTAATAGATCAACCTGTTATAGTACGCGTAAACTATCGTTAGTTATCTCTGTTTTCACTCTTGTGCCCTTAGAAACTACACGTCAGAGCTTCTTTTTACTCGAAATTTTGTCTTCTTTACAAGTCATTTTAAGCCCTGACACTTTATACAACGGCCGGATTAGTTTCATGTTAATGTAATCCTCTTGCATATCCTTTCATTTCCCAGCAGGAGCTACTTTTCCTTCTTGGAGGGTCATTTGAAGAGTTTAAGAAAAAAAAAGAAAATTCGCTTCATCGCCAGACTTTAGGCGCCAAACTTTCTGACTCCAATGTATCTATTACAGGCAACAGAATTCTTTGCGAGAAAATTCCAGCGATTCCCCGATTTAAAACTTTATCACAAATGATAGATTTCTTGAAGCCATTTTAACAAAAAATAAAACCTTGTGCGCGCGATTAAAAAGACTTTTGAAACTGTTTCGTTTGTACTGTACAACAGAAAGAATCAACCACAACACCTTATCCTTACTGTAACTTCATGGTAAGGGAATACCCATATTATACACATACTAGTTAGGCCTTTTCGTACTTGCAACTAATTTTTTCAAGGTATTGCTCTCTCATTTATCGCTGGCGCGTACTAAATCTCAGATTTTTGAAGAACTTGTGCTTCATTACCTCATTTGAAACGCAAACGACCGAGTTATTAAGCATATCATGTGGGGGCGTGCAATATCATTTTATGATATTGCACGTTCTCTATTACAAACTGAAATATTATGGCGGACAAGAACGATCGTACAAACTAGACGCAACAGATTAAAGAGATTAAACTAATAGCTATCAATGAGAATACATCCTTCATTAGCAACAATTCAACTCAATAACGGATTGAGATCTCTTCAACAATTTTCAGAATGTTTACTTTTGCTAATCTTCTGCTAGATCTTCCAGACTTCTCTTGACCCATTTTCAACACACTGAGAGATCTTAACGTCCTTTTCAGGGAAACATTCTTTACCAGACAAGAAAGATTTCTTTATAAGAACAATATAATAATTGCCTTATGAACTGAAGTTAATTTCTGTAGATCTTGTTTAAACAGTTTTTGAATACGTCAAATTAGCTCTAGCAATTGAAGGAAGAAAAGAGAAATTTATCAAAAAGCTCTAAGCTCAAAAGAAAGAAAAGTCATCGGTTAAGACAAACTGGAGGTCTTAAATTTTTTGGCTCTTGGAATTCCTCGGCTTTGGCTGAAAACACGGAAAACGCTGGAGAGAAATGACAAGGTGAGACGCAAGTCTTCTCATTGGAGCCAAGATTCTAAGTAGCTGTCGATTTTGTTCGAACTTGGCACGAGATAAGAAATTGAAATGAACTTCACTGGGAGAATTCCCACTGAGTAAAGGCGTGGTTACTGATTCTCACCCATGCGAGGTGGATGTAATGGTGCTGGATTATGGCCAAACAGGATTAGAACAATGGACTTTTTTGTGGTTCTGTTGCTGTCAATTTCAATTATGAATTCCTGAAGCCGAAATTAGCAGTGCTCGAATCATCGCTTAAATCCTTCCTTCTGGTTAATATGTGGGACCTCCACCAGAATTGTTTTAGCAAGCTGCTAAGTCGTTAACTGAACTGGGACACTACTTAACAAACAACTACACCATAATATTCATCGGACACTGAGTCTCGAGGCAGAGGCGAAGTCAAGTAGACCCAGATGTTAACTAGGGAAATTAGAGCGCTTTGCAAAAATTTCCAACGAGTAACAGCAAATAATCGAGGGAAAATATGGAGAATTACTGTAAGCTGCATGATTAGCGCCAATAAAAGTCATATTCTGTTCCATATTGTGTCAAAAAGTCTCAGCAGTACAAAAAAAGATACTTAAACTTTAGAGGATTACACATAGATCTGGGAAACACAGCGATGATAAAGCGGCGGTACTATCATACAGCAGCTATGTACAACGTTAAGCCGATGCGATCTATTAAAGGTCTATTTAAAACAGCAATTTCCTTTTTTTAACTTGAGACAT